TTTGGTTGAGGAGAACGCAAGCTTGGGTGACACAAGACACGTTGTGGTTGAGGAGAACGCAAGCTTGGGTGACACAAGACACGTTTTGGTTGAGGAGAACGCAAGCTTGGGTGACACAAGACACGTTTGGTTGAGGAGAACGCAAGCTTGGGTGACACAAGACACGTTTTGGTTGAGGAGAACGCAAGCTTGGGTGACACAAGACACGTTTTGGTTGAGGAGAACGCAAGCTTGGGTGACACTCAGATGCACAGGAAGAGCTCCGGGCGGGGACTTTTTTTCATCATATGGATGGACGGCATTTTCGGCTTGCTACAGGGGTTGTTTTTTAGGCCCACCCTGGGCGGCACTAACTCTAGTTACGCCAAAGGATATTCTGAAGGCAGGTATTTTCACAGAGAGTGGTCATTTTACCAGGGCCCCACACTCCGAAGAACGTCAATCTATAAATATAATTCGCCAGAAACTAGGGCAAACAACAGGACGACCACCACGCAGGCTATATATAGATACAAATAAAAAGATCGTTATTGAGGCAATCTCGTGTTACGAAATAAATCTTAAGATATACAACTAGCATCACTGGTTTGAAATGACATTAATTAGTTTTCAATTAGACTCGCCACTCCGACTCGACAAGAATGTCTAAGATTTTGAAAAGGTCAAGATCTTTAATGGAAGACATCATAAAGTAGTAAGTCAATTTTTTTTTATTTTTTTTTAAAAGAGAAATAATCTATTTGCTTTTGTGAGATTTAAATTTAATTTATCGAAAATGATAAAATTGAATAGACAATTTATCGAGGTTAGAAAATATGTGAGGAAGACTGAATGACAAGTGTGAGGACAAGCTCAGATAATCTCCAACGAAAACCTTGGACGAATAGACATATTACTAAATGTTAGTATCCTATATTGTTAACTTTTTACTTGTTTTGGTTAGTCTATATTTCATTAGCTTCACCAAACTTATTTTCATTTAAAAAATATTTATGAAAGATGGAAGTGAAGGCTGGGTGCTACCATAGCGTGACTTTTGGAAGCCACCCCACACCACTCACTTTTGTGGGGGGGGGGGGGAGAGGACACGTGTTGGAATAGTGCCCCTGCATTGAAAGCTACAATTTGTAATTTTGTTTCCACTGTTACACATCACAACTTTAGGGCCCCTAACATATAAAGATGCCCCCGCCTCTAACATATAAGTTGCCCCCCGCCCCTAACATGCTCCCTTATAGTAGCCTCACGCGTTGCACAGTCTACGGACGTCTCTAGTTGCAGGGCAGGAGAAGATTGTTGAAACCCGTTATAACTGAACATTTCGGGTCATCTTATTAGCAGTTTTTCCCCAGCGTGCTGGTCCGCTTTATAACACATTTAAGGTTAAATGAAAGGAATAAAATGCATACGTTTAGCACCGACCGAAATTCGGTTTCGACGTCGGAAATTGCCATATGATCATTTTAGGCGTAGTTTCGGTTTCAGCCCAAACAGAAAAGTTAACTTTCGGTTGATATTTGGTTTTGGCCGAAAGTGATTGAGGCTTTCGGTCGTCTAAAAGAAGTCAGACTGTCACTCTGCCTGTCAGACGGCCGGCAATCCGATATTCTATATTGCTCTACGCCTTGCTGTCATGGTATGATATAGGTCTATGACAAATCCTCTTCGAAAACTGCTCACAGCTGCATGATGACATATTGGTCCAATATTTAAAAAAAAAAAAAAATAATAATAATAATAAAATTACACTTAGGCTTAAGCAAAGCTAAAT